TCCCAGGACGATTCCCTGGAATTCTTTTGGGGATTCTCACCTGGACGTGGGGCTTGAGGAAGAGCTGTCCCAGGCTCTCGGGTTCGTAGTTGAAGTCTGCAGGGAGCGTGGTGCTCCGGCTGTTCTGGCTCTCCAGGGTGGATTTGGCCAAAGTTGTGGATGCCTGGGAGAAGGGGACAGGACAGCTCCATGGAAAAACGGGAAGCTCCACCGGTTTTCCATGGAAAAACAGGGAGTGTTTTGTCTGGGAAGGGGCAGGGTGGGAGGTGTCCCCCAGAATTTCCCCCGGGAATTCCGTGGGAAAAGGGCTCTGTGGGCACCTTGGTCCTCTGGAAATGGGCCTGGAAGTCGATGTTCTTCTGGAAATCCAGCTCGAAAACCTTCCTGGGAATCCTCTGCCGGGAATCCCTCTGCAGGTCTGGGGCTGCTGAGGGACACCAGGGAAAAGGAAAAGCTTGGAATTCCAGGATTGAGCCCTTTCCAGTCAGAATTCCAGGACTGAGCCCTTCCTAGCCCAGAATTCCAGGATTGAGCCCTTCCCAGTCTGGAATTCCAGGACTGAGCCCTTCCCAGTCAGAATTCCAGGACTGAGCCCTTCCTAGCCCAGAATTCCAGGATTGAGCCCTTCCCAGTCTGGAATTCCAGGATTGAGCCCTTCCCAGTCAGAATTCCAGGATTGAGCCCTTTCCAGTCAGAATTCCAGGATTGAGCCCTTTCCAGTCTGGAATTCCAGGACTGAGCCCTTTCCAGCCTGGAATTCCAGGACTGAGCCCTTCCCAGTGAGAATTCCAGGACTGAGCCCTTTCCAGTCAGAATTCCAGGACTGAGCCCTTCCCAGTCTGGAATTCCAGGACTGAGCCTTTCCCAGTCAGAATTCCAGGATTGAGCCCTTTCCAGTTTGGAATTCCAGGATTGAGCCTTTCCCAGTGTGGAATTCCAGGACTGAGCCCTTTCCAGTCAGAATTCCAGGATTGAGCCCTTCCCAGTCAGAATTCCAGGATTGAGCCCTTCTCAGTCAGAATTCCAGGACTGAGCCCTTTCCATTCTGGAATTCCAGAACTGAGTCCTTCCCAGTCAGAATTCCAGGATTGAGCCCTTTCCAGTCTGGAATTCAAGGATTGAGCCCTTCCCAGTCTGGAATTCCAGGATTGAGCCCTTCCCAGTTTGGAATTCCAGGATTGAGCCCTTCCCAGTCTGGAATTCCAGGATTGAGCCCTTTCCAGCCCAGAATTCCAGGATTGAGCCCTTTCCAGTCTGGAATTCCAGGACTGAGTCCTTCCCAGCCCAGAATTCCAGGATTGAGCCCTTTCCAGTCAGAATTCCAGGATTGAGCCCTTCCCAGTCAGAATTCCAGGACTGAGCCCTTTCCATTCTGGAATTCCAGGACTCCAGCCCCTCCCAGCCCAGAATTCCCGGATTCCAGCCCAGAATTCCTGGTCTCCGTGCCCCGGGCACTCACGGGGCTGCCGGGGCCGGAATCTCCAGTGCTCGGGGCCGGCCCACATGGAGAGCACGCGGGGGCTGAAGTAGGAATATTCCCCGGGATTGAGGGACACGTGCCGGCTCATGGTGCTGACGTCCCCCTCTGCCAGGTCAGCTCCGGTGCTGGAAAAACATGGAAAAGGAACAGCAGCTGCTCAGAATTCCATCGGCATTCCTGGGGTCTGTTATCCCTGCTCAGAATGCCCATGGCATTCCCAAGGGATTTGTTATCCCAGCTCAAAATTCCATTGGCATTCCTGGGGTTTGTTAAACCTGCTCAGAATTTCTGATGTTTGTTATCCCTGCTCAGAATTCCCTCAGTATTCCCAAAGGATTTGTTATCCCATTTCAGAATTCCCTCAGTATTCCCAAGGGATTTGTTATCCCAGTTCAGAATTCCCTCATTATTCCCAAGGGATTTGCTATCCCTGCTCATAATTCCCCTGGCATTCCCAAGGGATTTGTTATCCCAGTTCAGAATTCTCTTGGCATTCCCAAGGGATTTGTTATCCCAGTTCAGAATTCCCAAGGGATTTGTTATCCCAGTTCAGAATTCCTTTGGCATTCCCAAGGGATTTGTTATCCCTGCTCAGAATTCCCAAGGGATTTGTTATCCCAGTTCAGAATTCCCTTGGCATTCCCAAGGGATTTGTTATCCCAGTTCAGAATTCTCTTGGCATTCCCAAGGGATTTGTTATCCCAGTTCAGAATTCCCTCGTTATTCCCAAGGGATTTGTTATCCCTGCTCAGAATTCCCAAGGGATTGGCTATCCCAGTTCAGAATTCCCAAGGGATTGGCTATCCCAGTTCAGAATTCCCTCGGCATTCCCAAGGGATTTGTTATCCCTGCTCAGAATTTCTGAGATTTCTTATCCCTGCTCAGAATTCTCTTGGCATTCCCAAGGGATTTGTTATCCCTGCTCAGAATTTCCAAGGGATTTGTTATCCCTGCCCAGAATTCCCTCGTTATTCCCAAGGGATTTGTTATCCCTGCCCAGAATTCCCTCGTTATTCCCAAGGGATTTGTTATCCCAGTTCAGAATTCCCTCGTTATTCCCAAGGGATTGGCTATCCCACTTGAGAATTCCCTCGGCATTNCTGGCACGTGGGGCTGCAGTCGCCCTGCCCTGCTCCAGTCCCAGCCCCATTCCCATGTGGGATTTTCCCTGTCCCATTCCCATCCCAACAGCCAGAGGGATTTTCCCTGTCCCATTCCCATTCTCATGAAGGATTTTCCCACTCCCATTCCCATCTGGGATTTTCCCATTGCCATTATTCCCATTATTCCCATCCTGGATTTTCCTATTCTTATTCCCATTATTCCCATCCTGGATTTTCCTATTCTTATTCCCATTATTCCCATTATTCCCATTTGGGATTTTCCCATTCCCATTATTCCCATTATTCCCATTTGGGATTTTCCCATTCCCATTATTCCCATCCTGGATTTTCCTATTCTCATTCCCATTATTCCTATTTGGGATTTTCCCATTCCCATTATCATTATTCCCATTTGGGATTTTCCCATTCCCATTATTCCCATTCCCATTTGGGATCTTTCCATTCCCATTATTCCCATTCCCATGTGGGATTCTCCCATTCCTGTTATTCTCACTCCCATTCAGGATTTTCCCATTCCCGTTATTCCCATTATTCCCATTTGGGATGTTCCCTGTCCTATTCCCATTATTCCCGTTATTCCCATTCCCATGTGGGATTCTCCCATTCCTGTTATTCCCATTGCCATTATTCCCATTCCCATTTGGGATTTTCCCTGTCCCATTCCCATTATTCCCATGTGGGATTCTCCCATTCCTGTTATTCCCATTATTCCCATTTGGGATTTTCCCATTCCCACTTGGGATATTCCCATTATTCCCCACCTGTGCCGCAGGTCCTGGATGAGCCCACTCAGGCTTTTCTCCCCGGCCACCTTCACGTCCGTCCCCTCCCCGGCCTCCTCCTCCTCCTCCTGCTGGGGAAATCCAGGAATGCAGAGCCCCAAATTCCAAGGAAACCCCTGGGAACCCTGAATTGGGGTTTATCCCATGGAATTGGGGTTTATCCATAGAACTGGGGTTTATCCCCATGGGATTGGGGTTCATCCATAGAACTGGGGTTTATCCCCAATTGGGGTTTATCCCCATGGAATTGGGGTTTATCCCATGGGATTGGGGTTTATCCCATTGGATTGGGGTTTATCCCCATGGGATTGGGGTTTATCCCTAGAACTGGGGTTTATCCCATGGGACTGGGGTTTATCCATGGAATAGGGGTTTATCCCATGGAACTGGGGCTGATCCCAGGAACTGGGAAGGAACCCCTGCAGAATTCCCAGCAGGAATTTCCCTTCCTGACCTCTCCCTGCTCCGTCAGCAGCTCCCACATGTTCCTCTTGAGCCTCCTCATGTCCATCCTCTTGGCTGTCTTGGCGTATGGGATGGGGATCTTGCGGACCTGGGGGGGAAATCTGGGATCATCATCGGGACCATCACTGGGATCATCACTGGGATCATCATCATCATCATCACAGCCACAGTGCTCAAAATTCCTGATTTTCCACGGGAATAACAGCAAGCGTGGCCTCGATGCCAATCCCAGTGTTTAACCTGGGAATTGTTCCTCTGGGAATGCCAATCCCAGTGTTTAACCTGGCAATTGTTCCTCTGGGAATGCCAATCCCAGTGTTTAATCTGGGAATTGTTCCTCTGGGAATGCCAATCCCAATGTTTAACCTGGCAATTGTTCCTCTGGGAATGCCAATCCCAGTGTTTAATCAGGGAATTGTTCCTCTGGGAATGCCAATCCCAATGTTTAACTTGGGAATTGTTCCTCTGGGAATGCCAATCCCAGTGTTTAACCTGGGAATTGTTCCTCTGGGAATGCCAATCCCAGTGTTCAAACTGGGAATTGTTCCTCTGGGAATGCCAATTCCAATGTTTAATCTGGGAATTGTTCCTCTGGGAATGCCAATCTTGGCAATCCCTGGAACCACGGGGATTTATCCCTATTGGATCAGGGTTTATCCTCATTGGATCAGGGTTTATCCCCATTGGATTGGGGTTTATCCTCATTGGATCAGGGTTTATCCCCATGGAATTGGGTTTATCCCCATGGAATTGGGTTTATTCCCATGGGATTTTTAACCCTGGAGGTGCTGAGAGGTTTTTGCTCCAGCCCAGCCCAGGGGTGAATTCCCAATGGCAGGGAGAAGCTTCCAGTGCCAGGAGGAATTCCCAGCCCAGTGCTCCCAGTCCCCGTTCCCAGTGCTCCCAGTCCCTGTTCCCAGTGCTCCCAGTCCCCGTTCCCAGTGCTCCCAGTCCCTCCCAGTCCCCGTTCCCAGTCCCCATTCCCAGTCTGTCCCAGTGCTCCCCATCCCATTCCCAGTCCCCATTCCCAGCGCCCCCAGTCCCCATTCCCAGTCCCATTCCCAGTCTGTCCCAGTGCCCCCAGTCCCATTCCCAGTGCTCCCAGTCCCCCCAGTACCCATTCCCAGTCCCATTCCCAGTCTGTCCCAGTGCTCCCAGTCCCATTCCCAGTGATCCCAGTCCCATTCCCAGTCTGTCCCAGT